ATGAGATAAATATATGTCTAGCTGTGCATTGTACAAATTTGCTATGTATGATTCATTAGAATAATAACAAAAATGTTTTGGGAATATTCTTATATAGGAATTCGAAACGCTCGGCAGAGTCTAAACATTTTTCGAAGCTTACGAACATTATGGTATATGTTCTCATTCAAATATGTTTTCATACAAATATTCAGGATTTTAAATTATGAAAACATTTCTACGTGAATCTTAAAAATAATGGTAAAAGTTGATTGATTTGCTCTACTTTCTCTTATTTGTTAACAAATTTTTAGGTAGTTTGTTGACAACGCAAAAAATTCTTTGGTCATATTTTTGGCTATGAGATTGCCTTAAAGATCATTTAATATTTGGTAAGAGTTTGTTTTATCTCTAAGTGGTACTGATTTAATTCATTTTAATTCAGTTTTCTAATAGTTTTTTTTTCAAAACAGCTAGTGCAAAAATGCGAATAACACCATCATTTTTATGCTCTTCCAAGGGAATGCAAATTTTATATAAATTACATCACGTATTTTATTTTTAACGATTTAACACTTTCGTATATGGGCGTACGCACAATTACAAAATACTATATTCTGAATTCTGACGACTTTGGTGGTCGACAATGGCCTAGTTTTGTTGACTTTGAAATTTTTCTTGTTTTTTCCTATTTTTATCATAAATTTAGGCGATCTATTTTGGAAGTGATTCAGAGAGTTAAGTAACATCGATGTGACAAACTAAATATGAATTTAGAATTTAGGAAAGAGAGTAGGGGCTTACACATATTTATTGAAATAAAACTGTTCTAAAGATTATATATCTACTTCTTTTATTTGTTGGTTTCTTCAGTTCACTGTTAAAAATTTATTTGTCTTTAATTTTGAATTTAATGTAATTTTTATTAATATAATGTAAATATTTACAATCTTCATGTTATATATTGTTATACATAATTTTCTATTTTAATTGTATCTACTTAACAAAATGTATTCCTCAAATATATTTGTTAGAAATTTTGATCATTTTTAATTATGTATATATAATTTAATGACTAAGTTTCTGATCCAATTAATAATGGTGAATGCATAATTAATGCATAATTTTGAGCGTAGTATTTATTATAAAGTTTATTCTGTATATTTGAATTCAGCTGAATCATATATTGTTTTATATGGGAAATATCGCTATTGTATCATATTTAATAATATAAATAATTATCTATTTCATTTATGTTTAAATATGCGTTTCCAATCAAATGTACTGTAAATTTATTATATTTACATGCCATGAATAGATATCTAGAGTTGCATAATAATTATTAACACAAATTATAACAAATTAATCTCTATGTTTTCCTTTAAAATTGCTGAAGCTTTAAAATTGATTTTCCTGGAAATTTGAACTCATTTAATTGTCCCAACTTTTCATACCCAGTCTAAGTTAAGTTTTTCATCTCATTTCTCCAGATTTTTCATTCGATTCCGCGAACTTCATAAACCGCAGCAATTTTGTGGCGTACTTTTATATTCATACAGTAATTTAATTAAAAATTTATCGCAGTTTAAGAAGGTCAGTGCGGCAAAGCTCCTAAAAGAAAAATAATTTTTAATCATGTTATGCTTAATGATGTCGCTTAATGTACGATGAAAGAAAATGAAAAGAAAAATGAAACGTACAAGAAAAAGCTCTCTGCACGCCCACACGATGGTTGGGAAATATTTGATTAAAAATTAATAATTTATATATAGAGTTATGTTCTAAAATCTTCCAAATTTTGATCACTGTTATAGCTTACCTGTTAGTTTTTAGTTTACCTGTCTTTTCTAGTTTCTAAATTACCTTTCGAGAATCAATTTATCAGGTCAATATTAAAAACTTGTCTTGTTAATGTATGCATTTTAATCCGTACAGTTTTTATTAGTAATTTTACGCGCGTTTCACCTTTATTTACATAGCGATATAATTTCTTCGTTCAAGTTTCGTTTTAATTTCAAGACTTTGTGATGAGTTCGTGCTAACTTTTCAGAATCTCTCTGTCAAAAGATTCTTTGCAAATTTAATATATTCAACCAACCACGTCATATAGAAAGGGGTTTGCTTTGCCTTTTTTGACTTTAGAAAATTAATATATATGTGTGTGTATATATATAAGTGCTGGGATTTATGAAATACTTATATCAACAAAATTTAACGCCACAGAAATACACCTGTTTCCCAGTTTTTATTCCCACCGCCATCTCAAAAGCCCCTTAAAATTTTACGTTTTAATAAAAATAAATAGTAAAAATATATGCTCATGTAATTCGTATATACACACTAAGTGGAAATTTCTATAGCCCTATAAATTGTTTTATTACGTGATCAAGCACCTTTAAAATATATTTTGAGATACCATTGTATTGCGGATCTGATAATAAAGTGCTAATAACTCCATAAAAATGGGTTATATTTACTCAAACTGACGTCATTTTTACTTTCGAGTGCGGCCCTTTTCATGAAATAAAGTAGAAGGTGGAATATTTTGAAACGAAAAAAATTGTTTGATTATTAATTGTTATTGCTAATTTGGAAAGCGAACCTATATGTAATGTACTACAAGCTAATTTATAAAGCAAAAAAGTATTTTTTCAGTACTTAGTTATATGTACGAAACCACTTGATTGGCTATATATACAATATATAATATCAAGTTAATTTTACGACGATTAATCTCGGAACTTAATATAAAAACGTGCTTTTTTCGTTATTACCATTTTATCAGCATGCTAAATCTTTTATTTTCCTTGCGAATAATATAATAATTCCGCAATAAAATTGCGTAGTCTCGTAATATTGTCACATTGTCCGAGACACGTGTTTCTATAAACGATATCAACGTGCGCTAACAGATCAATATTTAATCACGTTAATAATGCACAACTCATAAATATATGTCATGATATAAATAAGGACGCTGGAAATGTGCGTGCCTACGCCGTTTTACCGGAATAAGAATACTATTTTAATAAGAGAATGCAAATTATCTAGTAAACGAGGAGAAGTGACAGCTAAATAGATTTAACGATAGAGAGCATAGTACATTTTCTGAAAATTAATGATTTTACAATGTCTCATTCTGACGTGTTATCTTTTACTAAGCAGACAGCATCGATCTAATTGTATAACAATCCTTAAATACACCTCGCACATACAGTGCTAATTTCATAGCATATATACATACACTTATATTCATTGGTAACCTAAAGGCATATATACATAAAGTAACCTAAAATTTACATTGTCTTTTTTCAGTTTTTATGTATTTTCGTCATCTTTAAGGAACATATTCCACAAAACTACAAAAAATGACGGAATTCATACTTCATAATGGGGCGCGCCTCTTTGTGGTGGCGAAGGGAAGCATACAGCTGTTTGCAAAATACTATTTTCGGAATAAACTAAAATTATATAAAAATTGAAAGAAAGAATATATATATATATATATATATAATATATATATACGTATATATCAATCGAATCACGTAAATTATTTTAAATGTATGAACTTCGAAACATTGTTTAAAACTACTTGGTAATTCTCTTACAGTGAAGAAGTATCAACTCTTTTGTTTATGCTATTTTTATAAAGATGTATGAAGCATGATTCTGAAAAGCGTCTCTGCGATGTATTCGACTCTTGATATAAAATTGTGGCAACATTAAAATTGAAAATATGATTGAAACTTTGGATGTGGTCCGTTATCATTGTTTGATTTTGATTTTTATTTTTGGAGTTGTTATAATGTTGTCTAAGACGTTTTTTTAGATGTTGTCCAGTTTCGCCAATTTTTATCTGTGCTTTCAAACTAGAGTCCACTGAAGATGACACAAAACTATGTGTCGAAACGTATGGAAACAATAAAAATGTTATAATTTCATACAAGTTTTTAATTGATGTATTGCCCTTAAGACTGAATCTCACATATCTCAACATCAAAATTATTAAAATTTTAACACCACACATATATATATATATATATATATATATATATATATATTATTTTTATTAAATCCAACGTGTGAACCATTATATTTGCTTAAACTGGTTGCGCAAGTTCCTATGCAAGCTGTTTTAAATAAATTGCCTTATATTGATTTTGAACGATGCTCTACAATATATCAGGCCACATGCGTCGATTTAATTGAATTTCTCGATATATTTCGCTTTTTTATAAACACAAATCAATTTGTATCGATCGTCTGCACATTATTCCCAAGTAACAAATCACGGCTGGTGTTTAGGCAGTCTGCATGAATTTGTGGGTTTTCGGGCGCTATTTTTATAGCATGGGCCGAATTAATTAAGGAACCTATAAAACAGTAGGTGATGGCGATCAATACAGAAATAGGTTCAATAGTGAAATATATGCTTTCAATGAAAGAAAAGGCAGGGAAAATTTTCTGTATATAATACAAATTGTATATGCTGGGTTGTTAACACATCGCAACTAAATGGTCTTGAAAATGTATTTTGCTCTATATAAAGTTGTATTTACAAATTTTAATATCACAGATTTTTTCTAGTTTTCTAGTTGTTTTCCAATCAATTTCTAATTAATAAATTATCTTTAATTATATATAAATGATAAATAAATTTACTATTAGTGAATATCTTAATAAAATACTATTAATTACCAATAGTCTATAGAACCGAAAGCTTGTGATGGCAATTACTTCTCTAATTTACTAACTGACATGCTAGATTTCTATCACTTTATCAATAATTGGAAAAAAAATGATAACAATCAGTTCAGGCATCTGACTAATTTATAAAAATAAGTTCAGTTTATCTTATTCGCAAAATTCACAATTTGTATAGCATTGATCGATGTACACCGTTTATCAATTGGTGAAAGGCATTATTAATACCTTTCACCAATATTTATTATCAAATTTTATCTCTAATATTCCCAAGAAATCAAAAACAATATTTTCATTTATATTTTTTTCTATTACAGGGCTGTAACAGACCCCAGAGACGGAAGGCGAGTCGCCCTCAAGAAATTACCCAATGTTTTCCAATCCCTGGTGTCGTCGAAAAGGGTGTTCCGGGAACTCAAAATGCTCTGCTTCTTCAAACACGAAAATGTAAGTCCAAAAGTCGATTTTATTTATTTTTTTAATTTGTAATACATATATTGCATTTAGTTTTCGTAACTAATATTACATCAATAAACGTAAAGGATTAGTGCATGACGTAGATGTATTGCGTCAATGAAAAATTAAACATTTTTATCCAAATAAAATTGTATACGAATTTCGTTATTGTTTTAATAATATCAACATGTGATATAATAATAGACTCTGTGATAATACTCGAAAATTAAATCGAAGGTTTTACTCCTAACGAAAGTGTTATAAAATTTTACTTGCAACTTAATTCAGAATTTATTTAATAGAAGCATTTAATAAAATCACTCAGAGCATAGCAATTATAATCTGCAAATTGTCCTTGATCATATTTATTGATTTGAATTTTTATATTTTCACAAATTCAAAGATGTCTTTAATAAAAAATACTGTTAAACTAATTTTCAGATTTCCATGAGATATAATCAAAATATCTGATGCATTCGAACAAAATGAAGTTTTGAGGCATAGCTACAACTTTTGCATTTCGATTACTATGTTTGCAAATTTAAACGCCTTTCGATTAAATTAAGTAATACAATTATCAATTCTATCAAAACTTTTGAAATTTTAATCCCATCCAAAGTTTACAGCAAGTATGTCAATTTCCTAGAACGCGTCTATAAAATTATCACCCAAGTATTTTCTACAGCCATGGGTTTCCTTCAGTCTTGATCTTGATCTCGTATATCACAATGTCCACACATACATCTTTCTTATGAATAAATGCTTACTAATACATGAGATTTATGTACAAACCACAATATGTACATGAATTAGGCTTGGGCCACATGGTAAAAGATATATTTATATAGTATCCACATTTGTAGTAAGACTTGAGAGTAGAAAGTGAACTTGGCTCTACCTGATGTGGTTGGTTGAGTATATCAGGTCTGCAAAAATCTTTTGGCTAAGAAAACCTGAAACTGTAGCACTTTCTCATGATATAATTTGGGTTTTAAAATGAATCGTAATTAAGTATTCACTATATTATTTGATATTTCCATTCCGGTTTCCAATAAAATAAATATAAGTCATGATTAATATTTTCGAAGTGTGAGCCCAGCCTTTTGGTTACAAGCTTGCTCACCCATACAATGGTGGTTTCAAACCAGTTCTATCCTTTTGTCGGGGTCAAAAGAATAAAAGTAGTTTATAAAGAAAAGGAGCTAAAAAAACGTAGATAAATGGAAAAGTTGTTCACGGCAAGTGAATACGAGAAACGTTTAAAGAACGCTACACTCTCACGGAATTGTTACTAACATGTAATGTATATTAGAAAAATTCGAAAAGTTTTCAAATACAGTACTAAAATATTGATAAAGCGCAAATTCGTTCTGATTTTTATGTTTCTTATCGATGGATTCTAAAAGATTGATTTATTTATGAAAAATGCAATAAAATCTATACTATCAGCACTATGTTGATAAGGTTACCGAAACCAAAACATTTTTTGCAATGAGAATCTTATTGACTTTTTCCATTATGGACATGATTGGCATTTTGAGGATTTTTGGAGCTACGATCATTAATTAATCAATATAAGCAATTTTAGTATGTATCTAGAAAACTTTCATTAATATTATAAGTACTAGTATCGTGTATTGTACTACCAATAACACTTTTACTTTTTTCAATAAAATTGTTTTTACTATCAGTACCTTCTACTAATAAAAATTGGTCTTTTGCCAATAACGCTACTTTAACCAAGTACTATGATACTCTTACCAACAAGTGGAGTGCATGACATCGTTCCTTAAGGCAAATTGCTGGAACTTCCCGTACCGTAATTAACAATCTTGGTACGGAACTCAATAAAATTTACATAAAATGTGTAAACATTATTAAAATCTCTATAAAACATCTCATAATTTGATGTACATATGTCCAATAAACATTTTTGACTACCAAATGACATTTTTTTGACATGGACATATTGAGAGTCCATAATCGCTGGACCTGCCTTCCCAAAAATTTAATCAGTTAATCAGTAAAATGTTTTTTGAATTATCAAAATCGGTCGCTCCGTTCTCATAAAAACTGAGTTACCGTTTTTGGCACTTTTTGTCCCGTATCTTCGGAACGGCTAGATCTGCCTTCGCCAAAAATTAATCAGCACGTCCCCTTATCAATACGAATCGATTTTTTTTTTAATTATTCAAATCGGTTGATCGGTATTCCCGAAATCGTCGACGAGAATTTGCATGTGTACTATTATAATATAGTACTATAAATAGTGCTTTTACCTCTTTCATTTTTTTTTACTAGCAATATCATTTGTGAGCACTTTCACCTTTCCAATATAGTTCTAGGATTAATATTGTTACTAATATTATTCAAACTATTATCCTTCTCAATCGTACTTATTATAGTTCTATCAAATAGAGCACTTTTCCTAAAAATAAAACATTTTTTACTATCAGAGTCACCATTGGGTCATACTCACATCAATAGTACTTCTCCATTATTAATGAAATTATAGTTCCTATAAATAGTAGGTATTATTGTATCATAGTACCAAGTATTATAAAAGATACTACACTTACTACCATAAAGAAACTATCGCCTCTATTAATAGTACTATTGTATCTCTGTACTATCAATAGTACTTTTACTAAAACTGTCGAAACTGTTTATGGTATCATTACTAACTTGTAAGTGTAGTATTATTAGTAGCAAACCGAGAAGATAAACAATATTTTTATAATAAATAAATTAGGTTAAAATTAAAAATAAATCTTCTTTAATTAGTTCAATTATTCTTACTGCTGCTAGCAAACATAATTAAATATCAATCATTTTTTTATTTCCAGGTCCTCTCCGCCCTAGATATTCTGCAACCACCTCATTTAGACTCTTTCAAGAAATGTATCCTTTTACATAATTGAATAATTGCTAATGATAGCTTGATAGACGTTTTATTAATTAGTATCTGTCTTATGTGACACGTTTATTTGTTTTCTTAATTAATATTGAGCATTATATTGAGCGAGTTATTTATGGAATTTCAATCTGTTATGAAATTATTTTTTACACAATATCAATTTAGTTTTTGATATTAAAATCAATTTTTCACATATCAATATAGAAGTATGATGAATTCTGTCAATTTTTTTGTCGCAAATGTCACTAGCATAAATAAATACTAGGATAAAATAAATACGGAAACATTTTTCATTTAAAAATCATTTTGGCAATTCGAATTGAAGTTTGTATTAAAAACTATGGATTTTTGTGTAACATTTTTCTTAATAACCCAAATACAGATATGTTATAACCGAATTATTACAGTCAGATCTTCATAAAATCATTGTCTCACCTCAACATCTCAGTGCAGATCACATTAAAGTATTTCTGTATCAAATATTGAGAGGTAAGATATATTTTTAATAAAAATATATTTTTAATAAAAATATATTTTTAATAATTTTTTTTATGTTTGTATTTACTAGAAATGATCATATAATGGAATTTATATAATATATAAAAATTGATTAATAAATTAGAGTATTAATGCATTATTAAGATTTTCAAAAAAAATACATATTTTGGAAGCAATTTTTCCTTTTCATGATTCATCCAAGTATAGATGATACCACCCACACCTAGTTGATAATTCCATATCTCATATAAATTACTGATCTGTATAATAGTTCTAATATGTATATATTAATTAATCAGGAAATGTATTCAATATTTATAAACAGTACAAACTATTTATATGTGTCATATGTGTATCACGTCATAAAACTATTTTATCATAATTACAACAATTTCTTCGCATATTACTTTTACATGACGCCATTGCATAGTTTTCAGTGATAAATATAGTATTGTTTTAAATTAATTCTATATTATTTTAACGAATTGTTGATAAAATTATGATAAATTCAAAAGATTTCAGCTGTATAAAATATGATTTACAAAATCTAACAAATTAATCAGGTTTATTTAGACAAAAATCTTGATAGTTTGTATATTTCAAATGTATTTTATCCGGATCGTATGAAATAGAGATCGAGAAAATAAGAGTAATATAATAGAAATGAAATAGAGTGATATAATTATAATAAATTCACAAGATTTCAGCTGTATAAAATTTGCTTTGCAAAATTTAACAAATATGTGATAGATTTATTTAGACAAAAAATCCTGGTAGTGTATATTCAAATGTATTTTATCCGGATTGTATAAAATAGAGATCGAGAAAATGAGAGTAATAAAATAGAAATGAAATAGAGTTATTAAAAATATAAAAATATATAATTGTATAAAATAGAAATTGAATTTTAATTTTTATATTTTCTAGGCCTGAAATACCTGCATTCTGCAAGAATACTCCACAGAGACATTAAACCTGGAAATCTCTTAGTTAATAGCAATTGTGTGTTAAAGGTAAGGTTGTTTTTAACTATAAAAATATATATTTGGAATATGTAGTAATTTTTATTAAAATAAGACTAGACTTGAAGTGACTAGACTAGATCTTACGACAATGCATTAATTTTAGATGCATTAAAAATATGCTAGAATTAAAAACAGAAATTTATAAATTTAAAAAACTTCATTGTAGTAAGTTTCAGCTTGGAATATTAGGAAATTTAATTTTAATTCCATCGTTGCAAAATTCAGTCCCTGTTATGTTTTAATCATACGAGGTTTCTTTTGTTCAACGTCACGTGTCTTAATCATGATCGAACGTTTGATAAATAATAACTTTTGGATTGTTTTCAAACAATGTATTCCTATTTTTGAATTAGTCGGATTTATAATCAGTGTTATGTCTGTCTTATTTATAAGCTTGTCGCAACGAAACAATAGAGTCTATTCATTCGCTTTTTATCGAACCATGTTTTGGATTAGCTTTGGATAATTCCACATTTATTGGTGAAACTGTGAATTGAATCACTAAAAATATATAAATCAAAATATGTTCTTCAATGCTCTTTCAGTAATATATGATGAATCTAAGTATTTTTCTTTTCCAGATCTGTGATTTTGGATTAGCTCGTGTCGAAGAACCCGATCAGAACAAACATATGACTCAAGAAGTGGTGACGCAGTACTATAGAGCTCCGGAAATTCTTATGGGTGCCCGACATTATTCGGCAGCCGTTGACGTTTGGAGCGTGGGTTGCATTTTTGGAGAACTTCTTGGAAGAAGGATATTGTTCCAGGCGCAAAGTCCAGTCCAACAGGTAATAATAATCAATGACTGATTAATTCACCAGGTAATATGGTATGCTAATTGATGGTTTTGTCCTTTTTCCAGTTGGAGTTGATTACAGAGCTGCTTGGCACACCATCGCTGGACGATATGCGGTATGCTTGCGAGGGGGCTCGTTCCCATATGCTTCGCAGGGCTCATAAACCACCTTCATTGACTGCTTTGTACACCTTGTCCAGTCAAGCCACGCACGAAGTTGTTCACTTATTATGTCAAATGCTTGTTTTCGACCCAGTAAGTAATAGTAACACAATCGCTATGGTTTGCGACAATGCATTAGTTATAATGACCATCAGATCAATTAATATTTCATTTTCTCCTTCCAGGATAAGCGTATATCAGTAAACGATGCGTTGGCACATCCATACCTGGACGGAGGACGTTTGCGGTACCACTCCTGCATGTGCAAATGCTGTTACACAACCTCAGCAGCCTTAAGGCAATATACCACAGATTTCGAACCATCAGCCACACAACCTTTTGACGATCTCTGGGAGAAGAAATTGACAGCCACACAGCAAGTTAAAGGTAAATATTGAGTTAACATAGTTATTCATTTAATGTTCTCAGTAACTCACTTTTTTTGATGATCATGAAATAATATTTATAAAGATACATTAAACGAGACATTAATTAGTTGAAGTATCATAACTGTAATGTTTTCATGTTATCTTCTACTGTTATCATGACGAATAATGCATGGTTTAAATGAAAATGAGAAAATTTATGTTTCCAAGAAATGTATTATTCATTACGTTTTGATTTAATTATTATAACAGAGGAAATGCACAAATTCATCGCAGAGCAACTACAAACATCAAGAGTTCCTCTTTGCATTAACCCGCAGAGCTCAGCTTTTAAGAGTTTTGCTAGGTAAGAATTTACTATCATTTATTACACAGAAAGTAATCACATTGATAATTTCTTTTAATGGCATGATATTTGACAATCTCTATTCTAACATTTGTAGTATCCAAAAAGATCGTTGTATACATTATATACCTGAATATATACATGCACAAATGATCACACTGAATTTATCGATATGTGTATACATACAAACAATAATTAATAGTGTGTATATATACACAAATCAATTTCTTTGAATATTTGCTTTTTATAATGTATTAAGTAATTCTGTATCTATATAAAAAACTTCGAATAATAATCAGTGATGCCGAGAGGAGATGAAGCTTCAGAGATGCCAACAATGCTACCAACATTTGAATTCGACAACCTGACATCCCCAACGACACAAAAGAATTAATGTCAAGTCCCGTTATCCAGAAAAGGTGTGTGCCGTTTTCAGAAAAGAAATTTTCAACAAAAAATTCAAACACACATATATAAAACCATATATATTCATTTATAGTTAAAAATACATTTGTTTTTAGTTTCCAATATGCCTCTGTAAATACCAGTGTTTACTCGCCATTGTGTTCATAGTCCATATAGTTTAAGAACTATCTAATGTTTTGGAGTCAGAATTTGGGAGATGTTGAACATGAATTTTGCATTTTCGAATTAGACTCGTACTGAAGAATCTAATCTAACAAGGACAACACCAAGCTCGTTTATTAGAAACTTTGATGAGATTCATCCTTAAAAATGTTTTTTTTTTTTTAAATATTGTACACTAAACTATTCCCTCTACGCTGCAATACCGGCTGATTAGTATATTATCGGTTTATCAGCAAATAAAATCTAGAACAATATAGCGCCGTTTTGTCGATAACCAGCCTCTGATGATGTTGTCCTTGCAAAGATTAGGACATGGCGTTAGTTATAAGATATCTATTAACAAATGCCATGATCAAAATTTCGTTAAATGCAATGGAAATCAATGTTTAACGTGACTCAAATTCGATCTCCAAAATATTTTCTAGTTCTGATACTAATAGTTAATAGGTGACACCTTTTTAATAATATCAAATATTTAATCCATGTCGATTCCTACTGTTTGCTTTTTTGCTTTTAGTTAACAGCTGCAGCAGTTTTGTATATATCGCATCTTGAACATACCGACTCTAGAACCAAATCGGCAAATCAAAATGCTTTTTGAAGTTGTGATTTAGTTCCCATCCGTCCACTATTGTAAATATTATCCTTGATTCTCCCAATAAACAACCCCTGTTGAGGTAGCTGCCATTAAAAATTGTGAAATAGGCTAATTTGAATATTTGTGAAAACGTCTTGTCAGACAGACTGTATATATGCATGTATATATTTATGTATATATATTTTGTAATTTAGGAAGTCTTTGTAGTTTTTTAAGACACATAATATGAAGTGATAGGTTGATTTAGTTATCTTTAAAATTAGTATTAAAAGCACCTTTGCGTAAAAGTACTTTTAATGAACATTTTAAGTTCATTTTTGGCATGTTATTGATTATGACCAGCACTACTATTAATTTTGTTTTTAATATTATAATTGTACATTGGATTTTGGTTTTAAAAATTAAATTGCGCTATTGGTTTTTATCACTTAACTTAGTCTACTAGAAAGCATGTATGTATAAATATTTTTTTTATTAATAATTAAAACAAAATCGAATAGTATTCAATTAATACGCTGTCTATAGGCTAGGTGATGTGTGATATCAACCATTTATTACTGTGCAATTATAATTACGATATGAATACATGTTTTACATTATATATTATGATAATTGCTTTTAAAAAATTTAATGTTAATTATGGTGACGTTGCAAATATGGTTGTCTTAATTAATAACCCCTTGCTATTGCAAATAATACTAACCCTTAATCAACTTTCAGTGTTGTAACCAATTGCGCTAATTACATCAATGTTGTGGCTAATAAATCTGATCATTATTGTAAATAATACAAAATCATAGTGACGGTTTTCATATGTGTAATTCATTCTCAGATACAAATTAATTTTATTTCATCAAATTCGAATCATTCGTTTTGATCGAGAGAGTGAGCCTGATTAATTTGGAAATTGTAGGAACTTTGGATAATTCGTGAGTTAAGATTAATGAAATATTAATGTCATCAATATTATAAATTTTATACGAGATAGCAAATAACTGGCAATTTTTTAAATAATTACAATTTTAGAATTCACAGATACAAATTAATTTTATTTCATCAAATTCGAATCATTCGTTCTGATCGAGAGAGTGAGCCTGATTAATTTGGAAATTGTAGGAACCTTTGAAAATTCGTGAATCAAGATTAATGTAATATTAATGTCATCGATATTATAAATTTTATACGAGATAGCAAATAACTGGCAACTTTTTAAATAATTACAATTTTAGAACTCGTAAAAAAGGAGAACTTTGCTTTTAGTTATCTGATTTTAGTGAAACTTGGCATGATGATATTTTCGGAACTCAAATGACCTCCGTAAAATATTAGAGGCATATGAAAATCAGTTTAATCATAAACATTAAATAAAATTTACAAATGTACGCTTAGAACTTATAGTTCTTTTATTCGTCTTTTACAATAATCCTGTGGCTAAGCCGGTAAACTCCCATCTTTTACACTTGTTTTTCATGTTCAAAATTTTTGACTATTTTTATTTAAAATTAAACCGATTTTGATAGGTCTTAAATATTTGATGAGCGTCATTTTGAGTACCAAATCTATAATCATGCCAAGTTTCGTCAAAATTCTAGATGGTAAATTCAAGATATGTTCTCCTTGTTAGAATACCTCGATTAAAAGTGACTGCGAATGTCTATACTAATACTTTAATTTTATACCAGTTTTTTTAAATTTAAAATTCATTTTGGTTCATAAATGCAATTGTTGTTTGATTATTAGCTGAAAATGTTTTTCCCTCTGTAGGAAGACATATAAGAAATTGTTCAAATCATATGCTGGTAAAATAAAGATCATTCTTGTTAACTAAAATCGAACTTACGACGGCTTTTATTTTTCAATTTTTAATTGTAACAAATAGTATCAGAGAGCTCATCCGTGAGTTGATAAATGTACTCAATCCTTTTCTTCTGGAGTGCTCGTATCAGGAGCGTTGACTATGAGCGTATGATTTGAGTCTTTTGCAATAGAAATATTTTTTAAGTATGAAACTTTGATAGTCGGTTGATTACAACACTGAAAGTTGATAACTTTTCGTTCGTTTTCATCAAAATTTTTGTGTGTACATATAAAACAAGGTTGTGGTCTTTGCAGAAATCGCTCGCACCGCGTCTATACTAAAGTTAAAGTTAATTTCGTCCCATTCAAAGCAAAGACGGTGCTCCGTGTGCTTTGGTTTCCGATTGTGTTTTGTACGCTGCTTGATTCACCTTTGACTTTGACTTTGACTATTGCCGGGGACCGCGCCATCTTGTTTTTAATTTTTATGGCAGGTCAGTTTATTATTTTTTTTCTTTTGCTCTTCTTCTTCTTTTCTTTCTTCTTGTTTTCTTCATTTATCTTCAATTTACCTGCGGATAGTGTTTATACAGCACCCTCATTAAAAATATGGATAAAAAGGGATACTGTTTTGTACGATTTTGTCTATTTTGGAGTCCTGGTAATTTTCTGGAAGTAGTCGCCAGAAGACGTTATAAGACATTTCTTACAAATGTAATATATTTGAGTTTCAGTGACTTAGTTGAATTTTACATTTTTACATTTTACGACAAACTCTGCACTTTTCTAATCAAATGAATACTTTTCTAATACAAAAAATGTGTAAACAAACAGATAACCAGAATAGACTGAAATGATTGTGCGCTTGGATTATATATTAAAGTACCAGAATCTTTTAATTTCGTATAAAAACATTTTTGCTGATAATACTTAAAAACTATAAATATTATAAAATGGATAGTTTGACCAAACGATATTTTGCAACTTAACCCTATCCTCTCGAGATTTGCGAGATGGTGGCATCCGAGTGGAAAGGGTTAAAATCTGGTTTCTATCGTGGTTCGATAATAATGATTTTATTAAC